TTTTCTCGGCACTTCTCGAAAGATTCGATTTATAGCGATTTCACTAAACGGTTAGCACGGCGATTTTACGAAGCGAGATTATGACTCTAAGAACTCTAAGAACTTTTTGGAAGTAAGGAGAAGGACGGCGAGATCGAGGCATTTATTGCTTTCGATCTGAGCTTTCCCTTTTGGGAAAAATCCAATAAAAATTTGCAACAATCGTAATTATTACGTGGCATTAGGTGTACAAAATTGATTGGCGCTTTGGATTCTTTTCTAGCGACGTTCAACGTAACAGTCATGCGCGACAGAAAATCCGGGCGTGGGATTGGTGACAGCGCGTGACGTATTCGTCGGAGCGCGGCGCTCGCGTGCGCGAATTGAATCGTTCTAGAACTTTCGATTGTCCGTTGCCGGTAACGACAGCTTGTTTGCGTGTAACGAATTGTTTTTAAAAAGAACAAAGAACGACGAATTCGATGATTTTAACGAGGATTAAAATCATGTTTGAGATGAAATCACGAGCTCAATTTGTGCATGCGTTCAATGACAATTAATGTCGATCGACTGAAAGAATTCTTGCTTTCCTTTCGAATTACCGATCTCAAACATTAATAAATAATTTTTATTGTTTTTAAATAATTTGCGGCTCTTTTAAACAATTTTTAAACTTTTAAGACAAAAGTACAACAATTGAGATATTTTAAATAATTTTTAACTAATTAGTTAATTAAATACAAAGAATAACGAGAAATACGCTTTGACACAATCCAAGTGTCCGAAGTGCCTCGCGCCAGTCTCGGTAGTGTCGATCTTGGCCGCGTAAATTCTACGCGCGTCCATTCGTCAACTTTAATATCTCACCATTCAAATTCTACTCATCAGATCGCATTTTGATAGAACTTTTCGTTTTAGAATTTCACGGAGAATACGTTGATAACTAGCGGTACGCGAGTTCTGAGATACCTGTATATCGTTGTGTCTCGCTCAAACGCATTCATCTGTTCTTATCTAACATGCAACGCCATCTCTTAGAAGATCGGATACCTACTGCTAGATACAATTATTGCTTTGTTTATTTCGAGTCTTCGCTTGACGTTCGTATACATGTCATTTGTAGATCGATATAAATCTTTCACTCTTTCGTAAACTCCGCATTGTTTGTGCATGTGCTGAATGTTGCACTGTCGTTCATATAAGTTATAAAACTTTTGTATAAGGAAATATTCACGATCAGGTAATAGCTCTACGAGTTGAAAAAAATGTAAGTTTTTAACTTTTTTTTTTAGTATAAAGTCTATTGCAACACTCCCAAATTTTGCATCTACTTTAAGCCTGTAAAATAATTTTTTATTCCATTCAGTGAATTCGGATATTTATATCGATCTGTAAAATCCTAACGATTTGGTTTTACTATAGCATCCTCTTAGGAGATTCTCGCGCTACTTCCTAGTCAATAGACAGTTTATTCATAATAATATGTAAATCAATTAAAATAATGGAATGACAAGATTATTAACAATATCTTACGCCATTATATATAATTATTATTGATTTTTATATGTTACTTGTTCGAGATGCATCCAAAAAACCGTTTTCACGAAATCGGTGTATGTGCGACACGTGGATTGGAAATTTCTAGAATTTTAAACGAGCGATTTCTAGAACTTTCCAAAAATAAACTTGACAATTACCTCTCAGTGATAAAGTCAAAAAATATAATCAAAGCCGCATGTCGTACGTACACAAAAAACCAACTGCTAAAACGGCAATCAATTCGGATCGGTCACAGCGCACGCGTGCTCGTGTGACGCGAAACGCATAACTCATTAACACCTCAATCAGAACTGTTGATTTGGCAGGCACGCATGGCAATAGCGTACTTCTTGGCCATCGTAATCGAGAATTGCCAATCGCTGCCCAAATCATAGGGTCACCTCAAATTTTATAATTTTCCGAAAATCTCATAGACGATTGAAAAAAGAAGCCTTTGTTCTACAAAATAGATAAAAAGCCGAATCGAGCAGTGATCCTTCTTAGATTTTTTCACAGTTAACGTTCCACAATTCAGTGCAATCGCTCCGCCGCAAGAAAACCGCCGCGTTCGACTTGTGATCGGTTACGTAAAGATTCGCGTAGATCAAACTTTCGTTTTAAACGCCTTCTCGCTCAAACTTTCTCTCTATCGCTCTCGCTTTGTCTCGCTCTCGAACATTATTGGTCCTTCGAGCAGGATTCGCCTTCGCCAATTATTGCTCGTTCGGGAGTGTTCAGTGCGCGTAATATCTAAAAAAGAGAACATAAGTAAATCATGAGTGAGGAAATAAATACCTTGCTGACCGCTCAGAATGACATCCACGGTCGCATGGCCAGATCAGTGGCAAATTTAAAGAAGATGAGTATGACCAACATCACTCTCCACGCCGTCGAAATCCGCTTTCTCGATCAACTGTGAACGAAGTTTGAAAGACAGCATGAACTTATACGAGCATATTATAAGGAAGCCTTCGATGAAAGTGAGTACATTACGTCTCAATTCGCCGATTACCCTGAAATTACTTATGTGCAGCAGCGTAGCCTATTGAACGACTACCTGACAAAGTTCAAGGCTGAGCAGTCAAAGCTCCTCCAAATGAACCGGGAAACGATTTCTTCACCAAATCGGCGCTGCCGCGTCTGAAAATCCGATCATTTTCGGACGCGTTTGAAGACTGATCATCGTTTCGAGATATATTCTTGTCCATCGTCGGTAATAATCCGTCTATCTCAAACGTAGAGAAGTTCCATCACTTATAGTATTGCCTAGAAGGATCCGCTGAAGCATTGATACGTTAGCCGGAGATAATTATTCTCGTGCGTGGGCGCTGTTGTGCAAGCATTACGAGAACAAAAAAGAGTTGTCGCACTCCAATTTTTGCACGTTTACCGCAGTGCAAAAGATGAAAAGCAATATCGCCGAGGAGCTTAGTCGCATTTACAATGTGCGATCAGTGCCGTGAACGGTCAAGAAAGTATAGGAAGACCAATTAATTCGCTTGACTTCGACTTCTTCAATCACTTCATCATCGAGCTCTTCGACCCGAAGACTCGCCTCGAGTGGGAATCTCACACGAGCGATTCCACGGATTTGCCAGATCATGATACCTTGATAGACTTATTACTAAGCGAACTCTGACTCTCAAGGCCAAAGGCCACCATCGTCTTCGGAGATCCACCATGAATCTCGAAATCGCACGTCGCTAAACGTGCAGCCGACGCTCCCGGTTTTGTGCAAAGGTAGGCATAATGTAATGATGTGCGAACAATTCAAGGCGAAATCCGCATTCGAACGAAAGTATCCATCGCAGAAACACAGCGATTGTGTTACAACTGTCTCAGTTCGCATCCAATCGCGAAGTGCCAGTCAACAAAGACGTGCTTTACGTGTAAGGCGAGACATCACACACTCCTTCACGAAGCGTACATCAAAGTCCGACGTAAGCGCGTTGACCGCTGTACGCCAAGACGAATGCAAGGCCATTCTGTTCGCTACCGCGAAAATTACTGTCGCTGATCGCCACGGGGATTCACTCAGTTAGAGTCTTAATCGATTAAGGATTGGAAGTATCCTTGACCTCCGGCGCTAGTCCAGCGGTTACGCTTGTCGCGATCCCGCAATCTCAATCTTCGAAATCGGCGGCTCACCCTCGGATTCCTGTCGCGGGAAAGTGTCTCTCAGTCTCACATCCAGGATCAATGGAGCTCGAGTTATCGCTGTCGCTTTCATCTTGCCACGTCTTTCGCTGTCAAGGCGCAGCTACGACATGCAAGCCTCACATTGAAGGTCTCTAGCTGGCTGATTCGCAATTCACGGCCGCCAATCTCATCGAGCTGTTATTCGGCGCGGAATCATTTTACAAGAGGACCTTCGAAAGGGCGATCCGCACTCGTTCAGTGCACTCTGTTCGAATGGATTCTTTCGGGTAGCTTTTTTTTTTTTTTGATAACGGAGGGGAAATGCCTGACGCATACCCCGGGCCTCGGGGGAGAGCCCGGGGTTATATGGGGCTTGCACCCACTAAAACCCCTCCGAGTGTCCTTACCTGGCCTTGCATGAGGGACTCCCAGGAACGCGTGCAGCATACTTCTGGGAGTCCCTCAGGCCAGTCGGCTTATTGCCGACTTCTATTCCCGCCCGGGGACTTTTATGGCGTCGTCTGAGAGACGACGTGACCCCGGGCGGTGCTTGGCACCTTCGACTTTATTCAGGCGCTGGGGGGACATCTTTCGGGTAGCTGCGACGAGAATCTCTCAGTGACTCCACACCACTCCTTCCAGTGCACCGCCGACCACAAGCTGATCATACTCGTGCAACGTTTTTGGGAGTAAGTAAAGGAACCTTCCACCTCAGTGTCCATCACGGCAGACGAACATCGATGCGAGAAGATCTTTGCTCGAACTCTCAGCCGCACAGCTATAGGAAAGTACGTCGTGCGACTGTCATTGGCCGCGTCGCCAACAGCACTCGGTGATACCCGCCAATCAGCCGAACGACTGCTCACCGCCATGGAGCGATGGTGCGTGACATTCAGTTCGGACATCTACTACGCCTTTCTAAAAGAGTACGAAGAGTTGGATCACATAGAATTAGTGCCAAGGTCATCGGAATCACAAGCAAGATGCTATCTACCTCACCACGGAGTGCTCCGAGAATCGAGCGTGTCGACCAAACTTAGGGTGGTATTCAACGAATTTCAGAGTACAAGGTCCGGTAAGTCACTAAACACTCAGCTGTTAGTTGGTGCTAACTTCTTACCATCGCTTGTCGATGTGTTGACTCGGTGGCGGTGACACCAATACGCAATCATGATGAATATCGAAAAAATGAATCATCAAATTCTTGGAGCCTAAGGATAGAAATTATCAACGCAATCTCTGGCGTCACTCATCAGCGATCCGGTTCGCGAGTATTGGTTAAATACAATGATATACGGTCTGTCGTGCGCGCCATTTCTCGCTATCCGCACATAGCTGACTTTGTCAGCTCGCCGACGACGAAAACGCAAGATTTCCGCGAGGTTCCGCCGTACTGAAACACTACTGCTACGTCGACGACATCGTGATTGATACACTAAAGACAAGGCAATCGCTATACAATCCAAGCTCCGTCAGCTGTGCATGGCGGGCGAGTTCCCGCTGAAAAAATAGGCCGCCAACCATCCTGAAATTCTTTTCGGTATTCCTGTGGATCACTGTCTCGCGGATTCGCGGTCGTGGGAACAAGGGTCACGCTAGGCTTACAGTGGCACCCGACCAACCTTCACATTTTCAATTCGAAGCCGCACCGTTGAAAAATTCACCAAGAGGAAGGTTCTCTCGGAGACTGCGCGTTTATTTGATTCCGCTCGGATGATTGACGGTAGTGATCCGCGCAAAAATCCCGCTTCAATCAGCGTAGTTGCAAAAGCTGGACTGGGACGCTCCGTTCCCTCAAACAGACGCTTGCCATTGGAATCGCTTCCTAGAGGAACTCCCAAAGCTTGAACAGCTTCGAATCAATCGCTGGTTAAACATGGGTGCCGAGGAGAGTAGAGCTGCACGGATTCGCCGACGCGTCCGAACGAGGGTACGCAGCCGTGGGGTATCTTCGTGCACTAGCGCTAACAGTGTTAATGTTCTCTTGCTAGCGGCAAAGAGCAAGGTCGCTCCGAGCCAGTGTCCTTGCCGCGATTGGAACTGTGCGCCGTAATCTTGCTAACAAAATTAGTCGCACACACGCGCACTGTTCTAAGCCTGTCCACAGCTCCAGTCACTCTCTGGTCCGATTCCAAGATCACTCTATACTGGATTCGGGGTCACGCCTCTCGGTGGAAGACTTATATGGCTAACCACGTATCCATGATACAGGAGGCGCTTCCAGAAGGACAATGGCCCGGAGTGATCAGAAAGGACAACCCGGCCGACTGCGCCTCTCGAGAGATAACACCAGGCGAGTTTATTGATCATCCACTCTGGTGGTTAAGCCTCTCTTGGGGTTCCTGCTCAAGGACAACTCCACCTAGCGCACAACCTGGAGGAATTGCTCGAGCAATGTGTCCACTCTCGCACTGTCACGTCAAAGGTTATCATGGAATCGGAGCTCCTCCTCCGATTCTTTTCACTTCATCGGCTCCTGAGGGTCACAGCGTGATGTCTAGGTTGGCGCTTAAGAGAGATGCCAATGACGGAAGGAAGTCTGGAATCGACGTTGACACCCGACGAACTCGACGCCGCACTTGAACGATGGATCTGAGCAGTCCAGGCACTGCACTATGCGCACGAAATCACTACTGCAAAAAATCAGCGCCCGATGCCACCTCGCAGCCAGTTACGGCTCTTGAATCCATTCATCGACGAACAAGGAGTACTGAGAGTCGGAGGTTGCCTGAAGCACGCAGTTCTCTCTCTGGACGAGCGGCATTCGATGATCATTTCGCCGCACATCTTATACGCCTCTTGATATCGTCATGTCACCGCCGAACACTCTATGGAGGAGTACAGTTGACTCTGTTGCGACTACGATATTGGATCCTTCGAAGGCGAGCTATGACAAAATACTGGTTGCATCGGTGCGTCACGTATACCAGATGGAAAGGAGTCACGCCACAGCCGCCAATGGATAATCTTCCTCAAAGACGCGTAACTTCTGCACGTCCATTCCTCAGAACCGGCATCGACTATGCCGGGCTGCTACTCATTCGCACAAATCGAGGACGTGGGCACCGGTCCCATAAGGCCTTCATCACAATTTTTATGTGTCTCTGCTCTAAAGCGACGCATCTTGAGGTAATCGTTTCCGATTACACGACGGACACATTCTGGCCGCACTTCGTCGGTTCGCAGCATGTAGAGAACTATGCTCGGATATCTATTCCGACTGTGGCCGAATTTCATTGGCGCCGATCGACAGATACGAGAGCTTCTTCGTGCATCTTTCGTCAACGGCCGCATCGCGCATGCTGCTGTCACAGAAGGAATTCGATGGCACTTCAACCCATCTTCCGCACCCCATTTCGGAGACCTCTGAGAAGCAGCAGTAAAGTCGACGAAGTACCATCTTCGAAGAGTAATCGGCAACACCACGCTCACCTACGAGGAGATGAGCACTCTCTTAGCTCAGGTAGAGGCCTGCCTGAATTCTCAGCCCTTGCTGGCGTTATCTGACGATCCCGACGACCTCTCCGCACTCATTTTCCAGGACATCTGCTTATCGGAACCCCGCTGCTAGCCATTCCAGAACCGTCGCTCACAGAGAAGGCAACGAGCTCTCTCTCTCTCGTTGGCAGCATCTTCAAAAAATGCGTGATCATTTTTAGGAAAAGTTATCACGTGAGTACCTGCATTCCTTGACCTCATGCTCAAAATGGTGCAAGGTAAGCACTGCTCCTCAGATTGTGCCTCATTGTGCCTCATAATTTCAGAGACATCACCACCAAGCAGATGGCCTCTAACTCGCATCAAAAAGCTGTACCCAGGAGAGGACGATGTGACCCGAGTAGCAACTATTCGCAACCTTTTTCGTCCGACCTCTAGTCAAATTGGTGATGCTGTCTGGATTCACTGCCTCGACCACTCTAAACGCGGACTCGCAAGAGCAATAAAAACCGCACATTGTAGTAGACCCGTGCGATCTTATTCAATGTACTTACGTCAGTCAACGCTCGTGTAATCGCGGTAATATTCGTTAATTTCATCTATCTTTCGCAATTTTCGATGATACGAATATAATAAATTCAATAATTTTCTTTAATAATCTAACGCTTAATACTATACTTACAATGTACTATATTACATTTTCAAGTTTTAGTTTTTTGAAAATATTCTGATTTCGTTCTCAAATATTGCGCAATCAAGACTTTGTAATCACGATTGTCCGCTAATTCTTTTCAATTGATATCATAGCTAGATCACATGACCGCGTCTGCGTCATTATAAACTTCTTAAATAATTTCTTATTATTTTAAACTTAAAAACCGTCTCCGGTCATGTGTAAGCAGACTTCCGCGACACCATGCGCTGCACGCGCAAACATCATTAGTCTGCGCCATCTGAAGCGCCGCGATCTCCCAAATAATTAGCCGAACTCGTGACATCTGTGTGCTTGCCGAGCGTGAGCATTGATTATGTCACTGTGTGACAAGGCGGGCGGAATGTTCGAGATGCATCCAAAAAACTGTTTTCACGGAATCGGTGTATTTGTGACATGTGAATTCGAAATTTCTAAAACAATTTCAAACGAGCGTTTCTAGAATTTTTCAAAAATAAACTTGACAATCACCTCTCGGTGATAAAGTCAAAAAATATAATCAAAGCCACATGTTATACGTACACAAAAAACCAACTGCTAAAACGGCAATCAATTCGGATCGGTCACAACGCACGCGCGCTCGCGTAACGCGAAACGCATAACTCATTAACACCCCAATCAAAACTGCTGATTTGGCGGGCGTGCATAGCAATAGCGTACCTCTTGGCCATCGTAATTGCTAATCGCTGCCCGAATCATGGGGTCATCTCAAATTTTATAATTTTCCGAGAATCTCATAGGCAATTGAAAAAAGAAGCCTTTTTGTTCTACAAAATAGATAAAAGACCGAATCGAGCAGTAATCTTTCTTCTTAGATTTTCCAGTCACAGTTCACAACGCTCCGCGATTCTTGCAATCACTTTTAAGACGCTCCGCCGCAAGAAAAGCGCCGCGTTCGACTTGATCGGTTATGTGAAAATTCACGTAGATCAAACTTTTGCTTGAAACGCCTTCTCGCTCAAACTCTCTCTCTCTCTCTCTATCGCTCTCTCGTTTTGTCTCGCTCTCGAACATTACTAAATATATTTAATATGATATTATTAATACAATATATTTTCAAAATGACAAAAATGAAAATTGTAAGATGCTCATTTGAGGCGTGTTTCGATATATACTGTCAGTATTGAAAATCTACAGTATACGTAACATGAAATTACAATCATAATATTTTAAGTCAGCAATATTATTGGACGCATTTCTATAAACTATTGACTTTACCTCATAGATAAAAATCAAATGGATTCATATCATGAAGGCTAGGCAATCAGATTTCCACGCCCTATCCATCTTTGGCCATAATATTGCTGACTTAAGATAAAAAATAATCTACGATTCGAAGAAATAAGGAAAGATCCAAATATTTTTCAAAGAATTCGGAATTCATTTGATAGAAGAATAAGGATTTGCATTCGTGCTGAAGGTGATCATTTTGAACATTTAATTTAATTTCTATTTAATCTGTTTATGTTTATCTAAAAATAATGTAGTAACCGTATTTACAAATACCGGAAAGTTAAAAAAAAAATTAAAAATAAAACATGTAGTTATTATATTTATGTTGAAATAAATTATGATTGTAAGTATGAAAAATAAATTTCAATTTTTTAACATAAAAGTGATTATAACTCGGAAACGACTTATTTCCGGGTTTATGTAGCTTTTTTCCTTCTTTTTAGCTCCCGAAGTATTGACATTGATTTTCCGGATATCTTGTATGTATATATATATATATACATTGCAACCGCACTCACAAGCGTGGCGTAATTTCGTTGCACGTTCGCAGCTAATTTTCTCTCGATTCGGTAGAATTCTCGTCTTGATAACGAATATTCGTCTGACTTTAAAGGAAACGCGACAGAAAACGTGTCCTTACGCGATAGTTGAACGCCAGGTATGAGCCACTCTTTATCGAAATTCGGGAGATTCTTTACGCGATTTTCTACAGAACTGCGAACGTCGACGGCTCTCGTAACCGGCAGCTCAGCCTCGGGGGCGGTTCGTGGTCGAGGATAAAGGATCATGTGGAGAAGCAAATGTGGGCAATGGCAATAAACCACACAATAGTTAATAACAATAAGAAATAACAAATATATTTGATTAATCTCCGGCTCTCGTTCATGCTCGTTGACAAGGTCACGACAACAGTATGCGATCGAAACGCATTTCTTAGCCTCGCACATGCCCCGATATGTCCTACGCGATACGTATTAATTACGCTAACGCTCGATGGCACCCACGTATATACTTTTTGCAAATCGCAAGAACATTAGCTCGACGCTCTGATAGCCGAGATAGGAGACGGTTATGATATCGCAAACACAGCACGACCTTGTGCCCGTCCGCGAGGCTTCGAATCATTTTCTAAAATGTCGGAAACAGATAAAGAACACGCAGACATCACGATACGAAGTTCCGATACAATTAAGACAAATTGGTACGCGATAAGACTTAAGAAATGACTAGGCTGTGGCTTAGGCGGACGCAGAGAGTAACTCTCCCGAAAATCCTATAACGAGCCGTCGCGGGAGGCGACACGCTCAGACACAAATATCGCAAAAAATCAGATGCACGATAATTCCGCGTGCCTCTCGCGCACAAAATTCGACAACGACACAACGCGCGTCTCCCAGACACGGAAATTGGCGACCTTACAATTGTGTGACGTTCGTCTCACCTTGTCCTCCAATTAGGCCTTAGGCTCGCTATCCGGCTTCTCTCGGTTCTGCGTCCTTCCTCCGTGCTATTCGCCACAGCACAAGTGCCGGGGCGCTGATCCTTCCAGGAACATGCGGTGATCCCTATCATCACAAGGGAGCCTTATCGCATCTATTTGGTGCGGGGCCCTGCAGGTTCCGCGAATCGCGCTAACCCTGTCATTCACGCATCCTGCGTCCTAGCGCGCGGAATTTGACTGGGTTGCAGAATTTCCTTCGGCCGCCTTGGGGGCTCTCCCGGATCCTGGTTTTGCGGGAGACTCGCCTCTCGGTGTCGGCGTCTCTGTAGTCGATCCGCTTTCGACTCTGGATGACAACCTTTCAGGAGAGGACCCCGCAGGCTCCATGGGATCTCTCGCAAACATTTGGGCGTAGAGTGTTCGTCTCCGGCTCCTTGCGGTCCCGCCGCCATGCGTCTGTAATATATGGCGATAAAATTTGTTTCGGACCAAAGCAAAAATATCGAAATACGGAGCGATATCACCTACGTATTACCCGTCCTGTAGAATGTTGGGTTGCCCGACCAATCCGTCCTCTGTCACTCCTCTTCCGACTCTCGGTCCTGACTATCTTCTCTCTTCATCTATGGTTCGGTGAGACGACACAAAATTCATAAGGTCGTAAGGAGATTATCCTGCAAAACTCGCGGTACGATAACGCACGAAAGAACGGCAAATCGATGCAGAAAATCGGCTTGACGCACAAATAAAACGAAACAAACGCGAAATCGATGAAATAACGTCACAAGAATGCGCAGATTCCGCCTTCTAAAAAGTGAAAGGATCCAGAACGCCAGAGTTGCGCTGTTCGGTCGGGTCTTCTGACCCTTGTGACGGAAAACGTCACGTCACAACATATAAATATATATATATATAGAGAGAGAGAGAGAGAGAGAGAGAGAGAGAGAGATACTATATACTCAGCCAAATGTCTGCAGTCTTCTAGCAGACTGTCAGCAGGTTCGAGCAGAAAATGACGGCAGTCACTGCCATCAACTGCGTCCGCATTAGACTTGTATTCTGTTAACATCGCTTGTCAATATAATGTGAAGGCAATTTGTTGGCAGAAACTGAGCAGATCCTGCTGACATTATCTAACGCTTGCAGATTCTATTATATTTTTTTAGCAGTCTGTCAACAGTGTTATGTACATCTAATTCTGTTGTTATTTTGTTGGCATAGTATGTAGCAGACATTTAAAAAATCTGCTTTCTACATACTTGGCCATCTGGGTATATATATATACAAGGTGCGTCCCAAAATTTTCCAAACTTTTTCAATAGGGATAGGTCGGGTGGCGCCATCCGTGTGTTCGATTGCGCGTTTGAAAGGTACATCCCTAGCTGACTTCCAGTAAAATTAATATAGGTATGTATAATATTACTATTATAATAATAGATAATATCAACATTGAGAACATAAGTTCAGTATTTTATATTATTCTTTAAACAAATAACATAAATTATGACATACTCTCTTACATCTCCATTAGATAATATTTTTTTTAATTCTTTGTGATTCAATCACTAATACTTTACAACTTTACATCATTGGTAATATTATTTATATGTTTTGCTAAGAAGTAAATATTTCAGCACCGTAACTTTACAGATAAAATTTTCAAAATAAGCATGTAAATAAATTATTTATTATAAAAATAATAAGGCTCAATAAATTAAAATAAATAAAAAGAACAAAGAGATATCTCTTAGTTTCCTAGAGAGATGATCAATTTTGATTCCCATCGCATTGTCTAATCGATAACAATCATTTTGACACACATAATAAGAAACATGTTCGTCCTTATGCACACAGTTTGGAGGTACACATTGGTGTTAACTACAATCGTTTGTTTGGTTTTCTTTCAATTTGGAGCGAGTTTTACAGTTGATACTGCGTCCGAAAGCGAGTTTTATTTAATTTCTATATATTTTATCTACGTAACATTTTTATTATTCTTGTAACATTTCTATTATTATCGTGTCGTCACATTGAAAATGATCCAACAGAGATCGAAACGTTTGTTTTTGTTCACTTGCTGACTGTCAAATTATATTTTACGTTTTTTAATTTCATGACATGTTTTTATTTAATTTTTTAATTATTTAATGCAGATTGTTATTTTATGTTGATTGTTTTAGGTTCGTAGC